TGATTTTTATACCCAAACGCACTACACTTACCTAGCTACGACCATGCCTACACCATCTTACTATCACACTTAACTTTGCTTACTATGTAGTGTTCGCCACAATATGAATGGCAAAGTACAACGCGTAAAATAATAAATGTCGGTCGGTTTTTTTTTTAATAAAAGGGTGCTTTATAGATTTTGGGAAAAAAGTGTTTATTGTTAACTTTGTAAATGTTTTACTTTAGTTTTATTAATTAGTTTTAATATTTTAATCCTTGTTTCATTTGCCAGCTTTGGGAGATAAGTACATGTCTCTTTCAGGCAAATACACCTTGTGTCACTCCTTATACAGTGACAGAAAGCCAATTTTTTTCTTGGAGTTATGTCACTTCTTATAAGGTGTCAATTGGAATAATGTTACTTTTGATCATCAAGCACATTTTCCAGCTCTCAAGAAAAACAAAAAAAGCATATAGAACACTCTGAAGAAACGAAAAAGAAATTTTCTATTAAACTTTCTTCTGCGCAAAAATACTTCCGCCACTCTTTTCCGGCAACACGGAAAGTATAATTCTACTTAGTAAGGGGTATAATTTCAAACCGCACCCGAAAGCCGCTTACGCAGGAAGAATTTCTGCGCAAAAATACTTCCGCCGTTTTTTTCAGGCAACACAGAAAGGAGAGTTCTACCTAGTAAGTGTTATAATCCCTAAGCGCGGCCGAAGGGCTATAAGCGCTGACAAGAAAATAATGTAGGCAAAGCCATCATGTATCCAGTGTTTTGATATAAATTTTATCATTACTCTTGCACATTCCACAGTCTTTTGGTTTGCAAAATTACATGAGGGATTCGGAATTTTGTCGTCTTTTCGCTGGGAAATATGTCACTCCTTATATAATTTCATAACCCCAAGTAAAAAATTGGGTTTATGTCACTACAAAATCTATAAAGGACCCTTTTATTTTTCAAAATAACCTGTGCGACAGTTATTATTTTACACCCTGTATATGATAAAAAAAGTGAATAGCTGCAAAAAGGATTACAAAAGAAGCACATAACTAAAAAAGGGTTACGTTTCCAGATTTTTTTTTGGAGTACATTGCAATAAAAAGGAGTACGTTTACTCCCAAAAGCAGTACGTCTGGCAACTCTACTCCTACCAGCCGACTTGTACATTCTGCAACGAATCCGACCTAACCATTCACCATATCATATCAAGTTGCCCTGCTTTAACTTCCGTACGTGCCCATTTCTTCGCTGATAATGATCCTTTAGACATACTCTCATGCTCCACAGAAGCTAATGTAAAAGCTATTTTTAACTTCTTAAAAAATGTAAATATTGCAACATTTATTATAGTTATATTTTCACATAATGACTAGCCGATAGCCTTGGTAGCTATTGCTATAATATGTATTAATTTATAATTTTAATTGTAATTTAATAAATAAATAATAATAATAATACTTCGGCCGATGAAGAATATAAGCGAAAGTCAATTTTCGTTTTTCCCTCCTAAGCGTTTCGACGCTTTTGCGTCTTCCTCAGGGAGTCTGTGTTTTAGTGAACAATAAATAAAAACAATAAGCATGAATTACAATGACAATTGACAAACATATGTAAACTAAAAGCTTTTGCCCAAGTTTTATTAGCCAGTATATATTTAAGCAGACAAATTGGCCCATAAATAGGTTAGATATATGACTTTTACTTCTTTTTTGTCGCGGTAGACCTTCCGATGGAAACACCCATATTCCAAACTTGCGTACGTCAGACCTCGTATAACTCGAGAATGGAGGAAGAAGTTATTTGATTGTGGAAAAGTAATACAATTTTAATTAAAAAAAAAAACACATAAAAACATTTGGCGCTTACGTTTCTTTTTCGGTTATGACTCGATTGCTTCGAATATGGTAATTCAAATTCTTTGATGTTGCACTTTTAGTGTTCGGGGGAGATTATACCACCGTCACAATATCAAAGACTAGCTGACACAGTTGCGATTGACGATTCGTGTTGGTCGAACTCAGGAAGAATGAAAAGGACACGCAGTTACTGAACGATTGCGACAGGAACGGGACCCTCACCGTCAAGTGAGAAGTACCGTGAATGTCCAATTACATCGCGCGATTTTGAGTACGACTGAACCATAGACTAAACCGAATGTTGACAAATACAACTATTCGACATTTAAGGGAATTTTGTTTTTTAGTTTTGCTTATATTGAGTTTCTGTAGACCAACGGAACTCCCCCATTTTGTCTCAACACCCAACTGGATCATTGTTATTGACAGAGAATGAAGAAATTTTTCTAAAACTTGCAAAGAAAACTGGAAAATAAATATCACTGTTCTTGTTTTTAGGAGTAAGACTTGAGCGAGACCGTGTCTTATTTACTTACAAAACCTTCCATTATTGAATCATGTATAACAACATCAAGGCGCACACCACAAATCCGAGGAGGAGCTCAGTCTAGCACTAGCAAATGTGTAAGCACCAATTTTTATACCTTTCATGAGCATGAAATGGTATTATAACTTTGGTCCGATGTTTGTAAGTACCAGAACAAAAAGAGATAGACCCATTAAAATGTATACTTATATGATCAGAACGTCGAGCTGAGTTGATTTAGCCATGTCCGTCTGTCCGTCTGTCCGTCTGT